GTGGCATCGTTAAGCAGATTCTCCACCCAAATTACATGAAGATGGCATTGGTTCTCAAAAGCGAATAGAGATATCTGTATATATAAAAAAGAAAATACGTGGCCCTGTGAATGGGTGCAATGACAAAGCAGAAGCAATGCTGAATCGTAAACCAGCGTCTGTGTTAAATCATTCAGCAGTGCACAGTTGAACAGGGAAAGTGTCAGTGCAAAAACTATAATAAAGCATGGCTCAAGCAATGAGGAAAATGAATTTCTATTAAATAAGGGAACGTCAAGCTCACTAGCAAGCTGACCAACAAACGGTGCTGTACTGGTCAAAGCAACTGGGCAGGTTGCAAGCCACTGAACTGCAAAGACAGGTCTACCGCAAACTATCAGTTGCTCCAAGTATTTCAAATATGGCGGAAAACCGAAACAATCAATTCTGGCAATAAGCGAAAAACTAATTCGAACGATAATGGAAACAGTTAAAATATTCAAAACGACTGCGCGATTATGAAAACGATAAAAAGCGAAGCTATGATGAGCGGGGTCATCTGAAGCGCTAAAACAGGAAGGAAGGCGATGGAGCAGAATGGGACAGACAGACAGCTCGGCTGTAGGATGTGCTAAGGTCACTCAGACATCATCTGCTCTGCCCTGAACAATATGGCATCCTAATCTGCTTAAGTAGCCGTCCTCTCTCGCACCCATAGGGCCACTCGCTGCACAGAGCATCTGTTAATATGCAAACATAAGGAGCACCGAAGACCCGTTTTCTGATAAATCCCACATTGCAAAAATGCCCATTAACCGTTGGTTCGAAGCTACACCTATAAATAATAGTGAAAGCATCAATGGGTAAGAGAAACTAGCTGCTATGAAATGCGAAACAATTCCAAAAGCAAATGCATGCTACCCACGACTTGAACAAAAACGACTTGAGTCGGTGAACCAAGATATCCCTCTCTGAGCAAACACAGATCATGATTAGCGAACCCGTGCATGGGATCTAAGCTGACGTTTAAAGCGTGTGGCGCTAGTTTGGGAAAAGAGGAAAATCCTTCTAGAACGAGCGAAGGGAGCAAGAATTTCCTCTTACTCAAGGAAGAAGTCAAGAAGTGTGCACATGGGCGTAGAACTTTTTAAATACGTCGCAGAAGAGTAGCGAGATTTGACAAAGTTTTTAAGTCGATGCTGAGATGGGTTTGA